ATGACTACTTCGTTCCATTACATTCTCAGTTCATTATTCTTAACAGAAATCATATCATGTAAAATTCAATGCCATATTACCAGTGCAGGTGATAAAGTGTCATATTATAAATGAAGAACTTATCTGCTCTGAATCTTTCACCACCAGTATATGAGTGTATTACTTTCAGATATCGCTGGTTGGCTTCAAAGTGGAGTCCATGTGTAGTGACATCTGATGAACCTACTGTGGGCCCAAGACTGCTGGAAGTTGGCTGTGGTGGTGGAGTGCAGCTTCGGGAAGTCACATGTGTACAGGCCAATCAAGGCAACCAACCTGTAGTAGATGATCTCTGTGAATCATTAGAACCATTGCCAACTGTACAAAGGTTAGTACCACCTTTGTGCTTACATATTCTAAACTCTTTCTAATATAGTGTGTCACAAGCTGCAGCCATAATCTGCAGGCTTGCAGATGCGCATAGTGACAACCAGTAACTTGAAGGTGCAAGTAGAGCCAATTCCTGAAATGTTCTGTAGGTCAAACATACCTCTGAATCAGACAATGGGTAAAGTCCAACATAGTAATCTTATAATGAATCAGCTACTGTAACAGACCTGCAGAAAATCACAGTTGCTTGAAGTCTTGTTGAGTAAAGGCCATGGAGTTTTCTGTCCCACGTAGTTATGCCTATTTCTTAATTTATCAACTTGAGACTTTTTGAAGCACATAATACATATGTTATCTTTCTTTATACCTGACTAATTTTGTTTATGAATTCTTTCTGATGTTTTAATTTCCATGCAGGTGTGAGGTTGCATGTCCACGTGACTGTGAGGTGGGCCAGTGGGAGCCGTGGGGCCCATGTATGCCCCTGGAATGTCCTTTGTTTGGGGACCCACCTGCTAAAGGTATTGACTGCATGTAAATGACTTGAAGAAATGTGAGATTTAAAAGAGAAAGGAATATTAATTATTTTACTAAGAACTGGGAGAATTCCTTCAACCCTTTGCTCCTTCTGACATAGCAGAACATTCTAAAATTAAAAGGGCTATGCTGTTCATGAAGTGTCATTGCGTGATTTAATAATTGGTGTTTGATGTGTAGTCAGTGCACAGAGAATAATTGAGCGTATTTTTTTTTTATGAAACAGTCAGTTCTAAACATTACGTGAGATTTATTCTCTCATTTGTCTTCGATCAACTGACTGTTGAAGAAAAGTTGTGTGTGGTTTATTCAAGATAATGCAACAGCACACACTGCAAATGATTCTATGGTTGCATTACATGAAGTTGTTTGTGAATGAGTTATAAGCCAGTGATTGTGGCCTTCTGATAACCTGATTTAAATCTTTGTGACTTTGATTTGTTGGGCATGATGAAAAAAAGAAGTGTGTGTGAACAATCTGCACTCTTTGGAAAAACTTCAGCAAAATATTAGGCATGGAATTTCTGCTATTCCTGTACAGCAACTTCTACATTGTGTCTAGGAACATATTCCCACAATTTGAGGCATGCTTAGAGCTTCTATAAAATAAGGTAATTTAAACTACAGAGGAAAAGCAGGCTGTGAATAACCAGCTACTGCAGCGAGTCTGTGCAAGAAACATGCCATGTCAGCTACCGGATTGAGTCTAACGATTAATGGTATATCCTGTACTTTGTCATGTAAATAGGCCACCTAGTGTTCAGATAGTGAAATTAAGGTGACTGCCAAGGACAGGGCATGTGACTAGGCAAGGAATGCATACAGAATTTTGTTAGAAAAACATTTCTTTGGAATTCTAAGAAGGAGATGAGAGGATAATATTAAAATGGATCTTTATCAGACGTGAGGTGAATGGAATCAGCTCTGAAACATGTCCAGTGGCTGGCTTTCATATTCGCATTATTTGCCCTTCAAGTTCTTCTACAACAAGGTTGTACATTTTTATAATAGTACAGACTCTAAGCAGAGAAACAAGAAAGGCTGGTTTGTTTGTGAAACTTTTGAATTTTAAAGAGTTTTAAAAGGAAACTGATGGTTGAAGGAACAGTTTTATTTGAGGCTTCATATTCCAGTCTGAAGTTGTTATGCATTTCTAGTAATGTTTCCTTTTGAAATGATATCAAAAGGAAAGCTCAGAAATGGTAAGCAAATTTGACAGTTGGTGCAGACTGGGGTCCTTATGTCATTCTCAATTTACTTGACATGGTAAGTAAGTCAGCATTAATTTTATGAATTATCACTTTTTATGTTAGCTTTTACCAAACTTCTAGGCTACCGTGAGAGGCGACGCAACATTGAGGTAATGGCAAGCTCACAGGGTTTGACATGTCCGAGCACAAGAGAGGTGCAGCCATGTCCGCAGCCAGCATGTCACAGCTGGGTGGAGGGGCACTGGAGTTCCTGTGATCTGGACCCTGGGATAAAGAAGTGTGGGGAAGGGAGGCGAACCCGTGAAGTCACATGTCGATCAATTTATGGGGTGAGTAATTTGTTAGAGGACATGTGTAGAGCAAGAAATAATTACTACTAATTTTGTTACCAAGCATGTTGGTACAGTAGTAATGGTATACATTTGTGGCCAGTTTAATGGACATCTTCACTGATATTTTTTATAGTTTTCCTTGCCACATAAATGATGTGGGATAGTACCATAAAATAACAATAACCATGACCACCGATACTTACTCACTTTTCATGACTATTTTCCCATTATATTTGACTGTATATTCTCTACAGTTGTGACTTTATGATTAAGTGACCTACGAGTTAATGACTGAATCAGTCAGTGCACCTTCTGTGGGAAAATTTTACAGGGAAAGTGACACTCACTCACTTTTAACTTCTTACTACTTGGTATACAGATTGCCAGAGTGCTGCTACCGCCCCCAGTGTTTAAATTCCATGAAGTTTCTACTTCAGTTTTTTGTCTTAATATTTGTATGGTTTCCATATTGGATTGCCTGCCATATTAAATTTATAGAGTAGGATTTTGTTACCTGTGCCCTGCCACTAGTGAGATGAAGGTGAAGTGGAAAATTGTTAGAATAAATTTAAGTTAGGTAAGAATTGATCTGGTTCTGAATAAGGTCTAGGTTCCATGACAATGGGGAATTTCTTGAACAACTCACTCCTAACTGAAGGCTTTAGGCTTTTGTGAGAAGTAATGGCTGCGGCAGATTTCTCATGTTTTGCGTGTGTGTACAGGGAATTGTGGAGGACTCGGTTTGTGCCCGACGCCAGGTGAAGCCTGTCACAGAGGAACCTTGTCTGCTTCCCTGCCCATATGACTGTGTCCTCTCACCCTGGTCTGACTGGAGTCCCTGCAGCCACAGTTGCTCATCCCCTCGCCAGATAGCTTTGAGGCATCGTAACCGCACTGTGATAGCTCCTCTTGGAGAAGGTGGGTTTGGGTTATGATGGATATCCTGTTTATTCCATATTCATGAATGAAGTTCAGCTTAATTATATGCCATGCATGTATGTCACGTTTTAAATTATTGTTTGAGATGATACCATTGGAATACTTCTCTTTTTATGCCAAAAACAGTAGACCATATCCACAAACAATGGTAAAGTGACATTCTTTACAATTAAACATTTGGGTTTTACTACCACAGTGTTAGGTTATCACCCTGGTTACATTATAGGGGAACAATAAAACCATCAGCCATGCATTTGTGTTTATTTCCCTTTGAGATTCACTTACATTTAAATATCTTGTTTGCTAGCAGAAGCAAGTACATCCACCCATAAACTTTGGCTGGGTATATGAGATTCTAGGATCTTGCGATGATGAAGATGTCAGTGGTGGTCTTTTGTGTTGTGATTCTACAACATTTTGCAGGAATGTAATGTCTCCTTCTTTGGGATCATGAAACATTCTTTCAAAACGCTGGTTCTTCTACTAATCTGTATGGCATCAAAACCCACCACCACCACCAACATCAAATTGACCTTTATATAATGACATGACACCTATTTTATTGTATATTTACAATCTTCCCAAATTTTTCAAGCAACAGGCGGTCATAACTGCCCAGATCCAGATGAAATGCTGCAGATGGAGCCTTGCAACACACATAGTTGTCATGGTTACAGCTGGCTGACCCTTCCCTGGCAGTCATGCCACCCACTGCGTCCATCTGAAAGGTTCAACATAACAGCAAATTCTGTTACAACACTTGATCCAGGTAAGATATCATATATATAAGGTTCCTCCAATGTTTGTAGCTTTAGGTTGGATGTTGATGGAAGTTAACTTGTCTATTTTACAAAGCAATGGCACATACTATCAAGTTATGTTACAGTTTTTAGAAGAGAGTGTAGACATTGCTTTGAATTTTATTTCCTTAACTGATCAACTGGTTCCCTTGGCCAAAATTTCTTCTACTGATTTTTTAAAATTCAGGTTATGTCTGGTTAGCCCAGTAAAACATGTTACATGTGTATAGGCTGAGTTAACATTTTTCTTGCTTAGTAGATAGATTTATTATTTGCAACATCCTGCTTTTTAAAGATATATTTTGTTCTTGTTGTTGATGTTATTGCAGTTTTAAAGTCATGAAGAGACTTGATGGTAATGCTCACAATTTCAGAGTTGGATGATTATTTCAACAACAGCAGTGTAGCTGGTAACTGTGGGGCAGGTATGCAGGAGCGAGAGGTGTGGTGCATGGAAGCACATGCCAAACGGGTACCAGATTCCAAGTGAGTGACAATTGCATAATCAGCTGTTTGTCTAGTTGTGTCATAGTGAAAGTTGCCCTGACATAGTACGTGATTATGTTCCAGCTGCCACCCACTCCAAAGACCAGTCTCAAGCCGTGAATGTTGGCAGGTGTGCCCTGTGGATTGTCATGTGTCCCCATGGTCAGAGTGGTCAACCTGTCCGCAGCAGTGTGTGCCAGGTAAGTGGAAAGCAGAAAGGAGCAACTTGTACCAGGCCCCTAGCCTTTCTTCTATCTCTAGCAAGTCATAACAGCTCTGCTGATATTGAACCAAGGACTGAGGGTAACAAAGCTAATTTACCGGCAGAATTTAGTACTTTACCTTTTCTTGACTGCCTACATAAATTTGCATGTCATCGAAGTGGGCTGAATAGATTGTGCACTACATACACGTTTTATAACTTATCTGAAGCTGTGATGACACATTTACACTCATATTTGCTTGACTTCAGGACATCTCTCATTTTCAGCCACTATTGGATTTTCCATTTATGAAATAAATAAATTAAGTCTACCTGATTTACTTTCTGTAATGATGGCAGCACAAAATAAATGCAGATATCTTACTACTGAAAAGATCTGTGAAGTTCTTACTCATTGGGATCCACAAGGAAAACGTCTTCAGTACTCATTGTATAGGATACTGAGATCACCTCAGAGCTGATCTGGACATGGTGGGAAAGTGATGTATGTGTTCCCTGGCACAGAATTTAAACCTGGTCTTCCAGTGTACTGGTAGTGATTTTGCTGACTGAGCTATCCCATTTAATGCATATGGTTGTATAAGTATAAAAAGAATACAGTGTGGGGAATATAAATATTTCATATCTTTAAAATTCAATTAAATTGGGATTTAACTGGAATTAAAATTTTAAATATGTAAGGTATATGGTGTCTAGTGCAGGAAGGAGTCTGAACTGCCAAGTCATAACGGTAATCAGCAGTGGCTTAATTAAAGTAAATATGAAGTTTTTATAGTAACACTGAAAAAATTAAGCACTGAAAACAAATAGGAAGTATTAACAAAATATAACAAGGCTTTGCTCTCACAGATGCAAGTAGTGAGGTTCGAGAGGGAGAGGTGGCTCCAACACAGTCACGGCATCGAGTGGTGCTTCGCTGGCCTTCTGGTGGTGGGGCCCGTTGCCCAGTATTGGAAGAACTGCGTCCTTGTCCTTTGTCTGGGGCTCGCTGCCGTCACTATTTATGGGGAGAAGGCCCTTGGTCAGATTGCCAGCTCCCAGCAACAGTGGAGTGTGGAATGGGCTATCGCACACGCGGTAAGCAGAACTGAGTAGATGGACTTGTGCATACTATATATAGTCTTACAGTTAAATGATAAGATAGATTATATAAAGTTTCAAGCTTTCACAGTGAATAAATGCACCACATCTTCTGTGGCATTCAACCACATTATTGTTGAGCAATGAACCAGTATTTCAGAGAGTCTTTTAATATGATATTCCTTTATAAAACTGGTACTTGAAAAACTAATTGTTTTGTGGATCTTTGTTCATTCTTGAAGTGACTGTTATAAGTGATTCGTAGATAAATATGGTAACTCTACAAAGAGCATTCAACACACTTTCCCATATCTCTTGCAAGTGTGTAAACAGAGTATACTAATGGGTGCCATAAGTTAACCCTGTGAGAGAAGAAGAGGTTACTTTTCCTGTGTGGTATCATCTAGGTCTTTACTTTATAAGTAAAATGAAATTGATTAAAATTTTTCTTAAATTTTAAACAGTTATATGCATCTTCACATGACAACTTTCAAATGATTTAAACTGTTATAAATAACAGGTTTAAATAACTTCCACTGAACCATTTCTAATGCTAGAGGTGTGCACAGACACTTTCAAAAATATTCTTTTGTTTTCAGATACACCTAAGATTTATTTTTTAATGAAATTCTGAAGAGTAATTTATTTCATGTAAACAGTATTTTCCCTGATGTTATGTATGAGTAAATTAAAACAAAACAGACCACTGAGATGATTTTGTGCAACATGGTAAACATCTATTTTTTTTCCAGCTGTTTGGTGCTACAAAAACCATCGCAGTGTTAAGGTGGAACCCAGTCTCTGTTTGGAGCGAAACAATGGAACAGCTCCTAGCCAGTCAGAACCCTGTTTTGTAGATTGCCAATGGCCATGTGTATTATCCCAATGGACAGAATGGTCATCATGTAACCAGGCCTGTTCTGTTCGCACAAGAACAAGACAGCTAATTGGTGAGTGCTGTTACCCACACAGGGTGATTCAAAGCTCTGATACAATACTTAAAGAGGTTGTTGGGTAGATCATATGGAGCAAAAAATGCAAATAACATTTTTTTTCAGTTTCACCACCATTTCTGAGTTATGATTAATGTTGCTGTGTATTATGATCACCTTAATGTTGGAGGCAGCAAGCACTTCTGAAACAGCAGTAAAATTCTCTCTGACTGCATGTCATAACATTCCAGAAGACAGACAACTTGAAATTTTCTTAATAACCTACCATATACGAGATCAGCTATACCAAAGTAATCAACATCTGACTAAGTTTTTAAATATGTGATATACTAATGTTGAGCATATGAATAGGATGTTCCCACTGTGTTTTCTTTTTCATTCATTGAATGCAAGGAATGTATACAATTATGGATACAGCTAGAAAAATTTCCTGCATGTTTATTACTGTTCTGATATGTTCTGTAGGGCTGTCTGGATCACGAGTTCCATGCAAGGATACTGGGCTGTTTCCCTTGGTAGAGACCCAACCTTGTCCTTGTGCTCGCTATACTCTGCAACCCACTGGTCCTTGGTCAGACTGCTTACTGGAGGGTGAAGGAGTATCAACCTCAGTTGCTGCAAATGGTCGGGTTGCTCTCGGTGTGTGTGGGGCTGGCTCAAGGTTTAGACGTTCAGAATGCTTAGATGCTGATGGGAATCTGGTGGAGCCAAGGTATAGCACATGTTTCAGTTTGGTTAGATGTGTGCATTGTTGAATATACAGATAAATGGCTAGATAGATTGATGACAGTAGCATGTGATTATATTGCATATACAGATTCTCTAAAGGTTATACCATCTTCTATGTTGTGTTCCACCGCAGTTATGTCGGACATTGTCCATTCCTTAGTATTTTTAAGACTTTTATACTGGTCACAGTAATTCTTATGATACCTGCACCATTCTAGATGAACTGGCCATGAGGATTACCATGTTTTGTGCAGAGCTATTTTAACCGATAATGTATGGCTTAGAATGAACGATGCTTTCAGTCTAATTTTTTCTTATTGGAATATTTAATTTATTCTTTTGCCTTGGATAATCTGGTCAAAACCTTGTAAATCCTTATCATTTTCCGTTATGGCATTAAAGAAAAGTAAGTGCTGATAAAATCCTCTTGGGCAACCAGCCACGTCACTTTGAAATGGAAGTCCACTTTTGTTCCGAATTGACATCGCTGGTCACCTGAAAGGATTATCAGTGTTTGTGGCTGCATAAGCTTCAAGTCATATAAAAGCAAGGAAGTTTACCATCTCTTAGTTTATAAATGTGATGAATTGAATATGAGTTTGCTATATGCTGATTGTTTATTTGACTATTTGAGTGATAGTGGTGGTGAAGAATGGTGAAAGTTCTTGTTATAGTGCAAGTTATAGTGATATAATTGAAACCAGAGTGAGACATTAAATCAAATAACCAATTAGTACCAGAAGTGATTATAACCAGATTTATGATAACAGTGATGAAGGACATATTATTGATGTTGTGGATGGTGGTGACAGGATTGATTGGACATACTGATGTTCCTCCAAATTTATGGTTACTTGAAGGTAATCCTGATATTATTGTAATTCAGCATAAGTGTAGGACATAGTATATCTGTCTATAGAATTTGAACGTTATTAGGACAGTCTCGTGCTGTTGACTCTCATTTCTATTCAGGAGAATTCAGAACTGGTTTTAACCACCACTTCAGGCACAAAAATGTGTGTCTGAATTGTTTTTTTCTTAATTTGCAGAGTTGTTTAAAACTAACCCTAATGCTTGAGGGACTTTAATATCCTCTTGTACCAAGACATTCATTTCACACGCTACCACTGTACCCAAGCAGTAAAAATTCATGTTCAAATTCCGGTCAAATGTTTGTAATGTTTTGTGTGTTCTTTCTCATCTTAACAATATTCCTTTTGCACTCTACTTATGACAATTAGGAAATAATATGCTTGTCTTTCAACATTGAGACTAATTCTCTTTGTGTAAAGTGCACATATTTCTATACTAAGCAGAAATTTAGAACTGTAATAAATACACCATAGGCAAATATGGCTGTCTTCTGCACTGTTGCGCCATGTAGTCTGGCAGAAGTTTTCCAATGTTTGAGAGGTACTTGCTGCTTCCAACATCAGGACCTTTGTGTAAAGTCCATTTCAATATTGCCATTTCATCCATTCTCTATCAGTGGATCATTTTACTTAATGGGGCAGGCTATGCCTGTCATAATTCATTATGGATTAGAAGCTGGTTTTCTGTTGCATATAATTTGTGTTTGTTAAGAGACATCACAATCATGCATTTGATTTTAAAAACCCTGATCATTATTTTAGACAGGTTTCTCTTAATTCATTATTACATTTGTGTAATACAGATTGGCATTTCTTGCACAGATGGTTCCAGTGGGATTGCAGGTCTTAAAAAGAGACTTCCTTATTCTTAGACAGCCAGGTGCTGGGTCAGAGATTAAACCTCTTTCTGAGGACTGAGGGTATGATATTGTAGTACTTGGTCAGGGCTGTCACATACCTTAAGGGATAGTGATTGATAGTATGAGCTAAGGTAGAATGATGTTTAGCAGCAGGAAGCTGAAGAACTTAGAGTTAAACCTGCTTCAGTACCACTTCTCATCCACCATGAATCTCACTTGAAGTCACCTGAGATTGTACCCAAGTTTATGCGTAAGAAGCTAGTGTCTAGCTGTCTGCGCTATGACATGGAGGATAGCAAGTAATGGGGTTATTATGCAAATCAGAGGCTTAGATATTTGTATGGAACATTCTCTTTCCATGTCTGTGTACTTTTTATCCATTGCACTGTTTAGAATATATGGTCTGTGATGGACAGGTAATTTGAATTTAATGTGCAGATATCCCAGAAAAGAAAATTGAGTCTTGGCCTGTCTAAATGTTTAACATGAAATGAACGTGAAAAATGAATTTTGTTACAGTTTGTGTGGTGGAGATTCAGGGCTGGAGGAAGAACCATGTCTGATACCATGTCCAAGTGACTGCCGCCTTGGTGAGTGGAGTGCTTGGGGTGGTTGTAGTGCCATCTGTGGACCAGGACTGCATAACAGGAGCAGACAGGTGAGTTGGGATTGTGTCAGTATTTTGTGTATCAATACTGATATAAAATGGAAGAGACTAAATCAGATGAGCATATTTTTATAATGAATGTGCCCGTCATGTGTCAGAACATTGATTTTACATTATTTATTCATGGTAAGATAATGCTGAAAAGCTATAGGAGAGATGTGTCTTTCATATTTCCATGATATGTTTGGGAATTTTGCACCAATCTTTATGAAACAAAATGTCAAAATACTGCCTCCAAATTGTATTCTGATATATTTATTACAAGCACTCAGTTCATACCTGCTGTTATGACATACAGCATTGCTAGAATCCATCTTGTAAATTGGTTTGACATAAATTAGTATCTGATTTTCCCATAAATGGTGGTATATAAACTCATTTTATTAGTTTTCTTTCTGATGTTCTTTTTTTGACTGGCATCTGCTAATGTGATTGAATTCACTCTTTGCCATGTTTTTAGTATTTTAACTGATAAGGTGTCATGTAACAAGCACTTGTCATTCAATAAGACTAGTTAATCTACATGCAGGATGTGGACTAAACACAAAATAGTTGTTGGCAGATTTTTTGTTAAAATACTAAATATTGCAGATTATGAATTCATTAAAATGTTTGGAATTTATTTTTTATTGATTATATAATTAATCTTATTTTTATTTGTTGTTATTGTTTCAAAACACTTATATTTTATGATTATTTTAAGTAATTGATCACCTATATACTTGTGCTTTCTGTGTTTTCTGTCCGATTTCATATCTCTAGTAATTCTCTGAGTTTTACAGGGTATATTTCAAAGAAGCAATTTGGTTGTGAATCTACTTGTTTGTATCACTACACCATTCTATTAATGAAATATTTGACAAATATTATATACTGCAATGAATTACATATGAAGCCATGCACATCATTAATTAATTATATGATTCATGATATACAATGAACTGTCTGATCTAATTCTTCAACATAATATTTAGAAATATAATAGATATTCTTTATCATGAAAATACAACAGTTAGTAAGGTCAATATTCTATGGAGATCAGTTGAAAGGTGTCTATACTTGAAGTAGGGTTATGGAGGAAATTCCACACATAACCACAGTGGAATAGTTACTTGGGTCATCACTTACAATGCTGGATTTAAGACACAGTATGGATATAGTAAATCATTAATGTTGATGGAATTAGATTCAGATTTTCTTTGTTCCACCTTATGAAACTCTTTGTAGTCCTAAATTTTTCCAGCAGATATCTATACACATTCTTCATTGAAATATTCCTTGTTTTTATTTTTGTGACAGATTGTACACCCGTCTTTCAATGGTGGTCGTCCGTGCGGGTCATTAATAGAGCACAAAGTATGTAGCCAGTCATGTGAGGTGTTCCACTGGGTGGCAGATGGTTGGAGTGAGTGTCAGCTAATAGTGGCTGACAGGAACAGGGGATGTGGCACAGGAGACCAGTACAGACGAGTCAGGTAAATTGTTATTGTATGGATTTCAGCTCAATTGAAAAAGTAAATGACTCCCAAGGATCACTTTCAAAGTAGTTGAAATATTGTTTTCTGAGGTATGAGAATATTCTAAATGCATAATTACATTATTATGGGTTTTATTCATAGAGATGAGCAAGATGTTTACATATATGTTGAATGGGAGAATGTAAGGTAAATGCTGTCACTGGTGCGTAACCAAGAACCATGGCTTGCAGATGTATAGATCCTTGGTTTCTTAGACTTGAGGGTGGTGAGTGGTTAGCTCCGTGCCCCAGGTGCTGTACCACAAAAGAAGGGATCCCTGTTCCTGTTCTGTAAAATACTGGGTGGGCCCCAGAGATTGTCTGGATGCTATGGTGAAGAGACAAATCCTGCTGTGCCAGGAATTGAACCCTGGTCATCCAGCCCATAGTGTAGTTATTATAATAACTAGGACATTTACTGAACAGTTAATAAATTTTATGTGGCAAGTATTATTGAAGCATTTGAGGTGATTACGTGTTACCGAAGTCTCCAGAATCACTACAAAGCATGGACATACTTTCATCAAGATATGCATGCCTAATATGTGTTCTTTCCCTCACACTGTATACTTTACGCTTTCTTCCTTATTATAATATGATTTTTCCTTGTCACAACCCCTTTGTATGAGTTTATATAATCTTCATATGAGGTTGGCCACATTGAATTTGCTTCGATTGCTACTACCAATTAAGTCAACCAACTCCCTGCATATAAAATATACTATTAGAACCTGCAGGCCTGTTGTTTTGTATGGGTGTGAAACATGGTCTCTCACTCAGAGGGAGGAACACAGATTGCAGGTGTTTGAGAACAGGGTGTTGAGGAGGATATTTGGGCCTAAGAGGGAAGACGATGGGGCGTGGAGAAAACTGCACAATGACGAGCTTACGCTGGGGAGACCTAGACATAGATGGGAGGATAATCTCAGGCGGGATCTGTGGGAGATAGGAGTTGAAGGAAACTGGATTTTGTTGGCCCAGGACAGGGTCCGGTGGAGGGCTTTGGTTAATTCAGTGATGAACCTTCGGGTTCGGTAAGCCATCTAGTTAGTTAGTTAGGCCTTTTTATTTAAAAATCTCTGGTGTAAGCTACTGAGGGAATCCTTACAAAATCAAAGTTTTATGAGGTATTTGAAATATGAAAGCATTATAATGGTCCCATCATGCACATAGTCACAAGGCAAAGGGTGATTTTCCCCTATTGGCTTCTTATCATATGCCACGAGAGTAGGAAGAAGGATTGATATCTCTTCTTTTGTTTTAATTTGTTGGTTCTCCTGCATCCATTCTACTATTACCTTCCCTCTAAATTGGTATAGCCACTCAGAAATGTTCTTACGTATTTCTTTTAAATGTTCTACACATATTCCAGAAACAGTATATTGTCAAATTTCTTTCCATATAAACGTTTTTTTAATATGCAACCAAGGTATTTCAATGCACTAAATTGATCAACAAGTTTAGACCCTATGACTATTTCTAATATTTTATTGGAGGAAATGCCCCTGAGAATTTCATTGTTTTTCTTTTAATAAATTTGTTCTCACTTAGGTGTATGCGTATAGATGAAGGCAGAGGAATATCTACAGAAGTTGCTGATGCGTACTGTGATCCTGTGATGCAACCACCTGATCTTAATGCATGCCATGTTGCTTGTCCTGGAAGCTGTGTGTTAGGGCCGTGGTCAGATTGGTCAGACTGCCCCCAGGTTTGTATTACAGTTGTTTTTTATCTGGATAGCCATTGTAGTTTTTACATTATTTTCTGAAATCAGTATTTACAGCAGACATGGGAAACCTTGGGTCAGATCAAGTTTTTTCATCATGATTTTGGCCATGATCAATTAAGTTATTACCAATAGCTAAAAAAATTAATCCTAAAATTGATGCTAGTCTAATATTAATAGCATTGTTAAACCTTATACAGGCCAGATAAAAAGTTATGGCAGTCCAGGTTGCCCATGCCAAGTTTACACTATCAAATTTTTTTTTTTTTTTATTGTTACAATGGAATGTGAGTATATCTGTGTGGAGTTGTGGCTGCCACAGATAGGCCCATGAGTGAATATGAAGCTTCAGTGAAATTATATTAACAGAGCAATACCAAAGGATTCATAGGTAAACCTGTCCCAGTGCTACTGTATTCATCATAAATCATGCATTGGCTGCTTTGGGAGTGAATCCAGGCTACTACATTGAAGAACGGGCTGCTAACTGCCCATAATATGGCATGACCAGTATGTTTTGTCACTAAGTGGTTAAGTTCACAGGGAACAGATTTTAAAAAAATTGACAGTAGAACCACAGTTCCCTAGTTAACGTTGAATAACGTTTAACTGTAGAAGTATATTTGTACTGAAATAAAATTTTATTTACACATTAATGTATACCTTTACATCTTATCTATAAGTGACGTCATCCGCTGACAGCTTATCTATGTGTTGTCATGTACTCCACATACTCACTCTAGAACCGTTCTTTGTTACCAAATAAATGGCCAAAACTCCTAAGCCGTAAGAGTTAGCTGAAATCTGTTTGCATATTTGAAAAGCTCGTGGTTATTTACGTATTTCACTTGTAATATGTCCAGATCTAACTCTTATGCTTTAGACATGGCAAGCGGTTGAAGTTAAGGAATGAGGGTATCGTTATTACATGTTTTGGGTAATTATTTCAATATGCATCATAGAATAAAGTAAACATCATGTAGAAAAAGCCCTTTATTTACTCTTTAATTTACATATAGGTTTATATTCTCTATCTTACATAGGTCTCGAGTTATTGGCGTTTGAAGAAGTTACACACCAGCGTTACCTTACATCTTACAGTTTCCGTCGAATGTACCGTGATTTTATAAACGTTATTCAACGTTAAAATTCACCAATTAACATTAAATGGAAGTTTGATGTGGTGTCTTGTACAGTTAAGATGTATTTTCAATTAATTCAGACTTCCTCAAAGTATAATTATCCTAGATGAAATATACATTCACTGAAAGAATTCCTTCATTATTATTCTCCATATACTCCAATAATTGTAAAGTGCTGGACAGTCTCTTCACTATGATTGAAGACTGATCTTTATTGTTATGGTCTATTGAAAGACCACAGTGAAGGTAGCTTGACTAGATGAACAATAAAAGGGAGAACAGGGGTAGGTAGAGGTTGTGGGAGGACAGAAGAGAGTGGAAATGGTTTTGTGAAGTGAAAATCTTGATAGTTCTGAGCTATTTAAAGTTCCTATCTTGACATACACTTGCAAGATTTTAGTTGGGATAGTTAATAATCTGACTGAGATTCAAATCAGTTATGTCCTAAGTACAAGATCTAAGCATTGCTGTTGTGCCTACTTGCTTGATTTCATAAAGCTAGGTGTTTATGTTGAATCAACTATTTTATCATTACAAAGACAACGTATTATATCAGTTTATTTGTTTATAGCCCTGTGAATCCAGTCAGGAGCGGCAAAGAACACGCTCTGTTCTCCGCAGTCCTGCAAATGCCCATGATGGCGCTACTCAACTTAACTGTCCACCCCTCATTGAAGCACAGGCTTGTCATCTCAACACCACTTGCTTCAGCTACAGTTGGCATCGCACAGAGCTGGGGTCATGCCTGCCATTGGGGGGCAGCCCATGTGGAGAAGGAGTGCAGTCCAGAGCTGTCTTCTGTCAACGGAGTGACGGGAGGCCTGTTGCAGACAGGTCAGTTCACAGTCATCACTGTTCCATTTGGACAAGACTGTGCATTTGTCTTGTTGTCATCATGTGATTTAACAGCAGTTATTAATAGACCTTGTCAGTCAAGCATGGGAGTTTCTTCAGTCATTATATATGATTTTGCATCCCTCATAGTTATTGGTGTTTATTTGATACAGATACAAATCTGCTGTTGGCAGACCTAATCAACAGGATTGGCACTGTAAATTACTTCTTCCTTCCTTTTCATAATATGTTTTAAAAATATTTCATATATAATTCCTAGATCCCTTTTTATAACAGGTAGTACACATGATTGTATAATGCATTCTTAACTAAGTGAAGTGAATTTAACAAGCTCGAGATTGCATCCAGTAGGAAATATTAGTGTTACTGAACATTTGGATTGTATTGCCAGAGAGTAAGTGAAAGCAGTCAGTCAGTTACTGTGTAGTTATTTTACTTATGTAGAAAAAGAATTGCTGTGACAAAGATAAGTACTTTGGAAGGGTGTGGGATGGGTTTATATGGTTCAGAATAGGAACCAGTGTCAGGGTGTTATGAGCAAGGTACTGAACCTTTAGGTTCTGTAGAATTCAGGAATTTCTTGACTAACTGAAAAATTGTCACTTTATCAAGAAGGACTCTATTCTGTGGATTGAGTGAGTTAGTTATTATCTGTTATTTATTAAATTATTAGTGACAGTAGTGTCACTCCCATCTCAGAACATTGGACAGTTACCATTTTTGTTATTATCAATGACATGGAAATATATAAAGTACAATACTAGGATGACCTCCAGTGGCATCTGTTGGTTGATTGAAAATGTACAAAGGATGGACAGATACAGAGAGACACATACACATTCACAGGCAAGATAATATTATGAATAGCCTTCCTTTTTACAGAAATATAGGTTAAAATACACCTACTCTTGATAGACCCTGTCTGTACTGTTGACATGCAGTAATTCAGAATTGATTAATTTATAGGTAAGTTTCTGTTTCCTTTGGACGTAGGTAGTAAGTTTAATTTATTTAGGGGACTACAGTAAGTGTCACATGTTTTGGATGAAATGGGCAGGTTGTACCTGGTTTCCACAGGTATTGTGAGGCAACAGGCGAAGGACGTCCATCAGCTTCAGAGAAGTGGTGCTATGTGGACTGCCCTGTGGACTGTGAAGTCACTCAGTGGAGCTTCTGGAACCAGTCCACATGTCACTGTGGACTAACAGGTGCTTTATAAACATTGAAGGAGACAGAATGAATGGAAGATAATTTTCAGCTCTGCTTGTAATTAAACTCATATATATATATATATATATACAGTGAAACCTCTATCCATCGTTCCCGGAACTATCGTTTTCCCGGATGCATCGTCCGTTTTGTTCGGTCCCGAATACATCCCATATAAAATAATGTTACATTTTCCCGCTTCTATCGTTCCTCGAACTATCGTTTTATCGCATCGATCGTTCAAAAATCGTAGTCCCGGCCCACAATTTTCCCGCAATGATCGTTCCTGAGAATTTAAAATGCTGGGTTTAGAGATAAATTAATACCGAAAGACGCACAATGTTTTTGGAATAAACAGTAGCGGTAACCTGTTATGTCGCCCAACCAGCACATTCTTTTGGAATGAGGGTCAGCGGTGCAGGGGTGATAGTTGGAGTGAATGGCGGTGCCCATTGTCAGAAATTTTACGATTTTAATTAGGGTGCACTCATATTTCGTTCCAGCGATGCCAGATGGCATGTGCAGTGTGAATTTCTTCACAAATGCTTTTATTACAAGGACAAAGGAAAGGC